TCTGGTTGAAAATTAACCACAGTTTTGCAGGGGGAGTTTTCAGCCAGGGCAGATCAGCAGGCCAGCTGCTGTGTGGGGTGGTGGCACAGAGACTGCACCTCAAACTGGCTGGGTGGAACACTCAGAAAAGAAGTCTCTGAAAATATTAGAGGAAAACAGAGAGGACACAGCAGCTTGAGGTGTCCTCTCCTCGTGGGCAGGAGCAGTGAAGGGGAGATGGAGTCCCAGGTCCCCTAAAGTACTGAGGATCATTGTGACCTTTTCTGTCTTTCCTCTCCCACTCTTTGTAGACTTTTTAGACTGTAAATTTCTGATGTGTTTGCAGCATTGCCTGGTGTAATGGAGCCCCAGGCTCAGAGCCTTTGGCAGTGGTGGAGCACTGTGGAAGATGCAGGGATGGGCAGCTAAAATGAAGAGGATTGCAGGAATAAAAGAGCCTTCAGTCAGGAGAGGGGCAGCGGAGCGGGAGCACGATCAAAGTTTACAAACCATCAAGGCCTCAGATCCAGTAAATGCAGAACTGCTGCTCGGGAAATCCCTCGATAGCAGAGCGAGGGACCACTCGCTGGAGCTGGTGGAACATCAGATAAAAGCAGAGATGAAAGCAAATTCTTCTCTGTGTAGTGGCTACACAACTTCTCAAACTCATACCACAGGAAGCTGTGGAGCCAGAGAGCTCAGAGGGGATTAGAGAAACACATGAAAAGGTCCACAAGCAAATACTGAAGAAACAGGAAGGATGAAGCCTCTCATGTCCCTGTACATCACTTAAGGATGATGCTATGGGAATGGACTGCAGAAAGTGCCCAAGCTTGCATTTTCTCCTTAAATAGCATCCTTTACTGCCATTCTTGGAGAAGGATTACTGCACCCACCAGAGGTCTGGGAATATCTTAGGTTCCCTTAAAAGAATATTGAAACTTCTTATAAATATCAGTGTTGGTTTGGGTATTCCACAAGTTCTACTGCTGATTACAAGGTAATAATTAGATTAAACTCTGACTAAAGGAAGGAATATTTTCTCCCATTCTGTTTTCTTTTTGTACTTAGACTGAGCATCAAATACTCACTACTAAGCCAGTAAACCACACTTTGAGTACCCAAAGCTTCCTTGGTTGCCTTTAGATTGTGCTGATCATTGTCCCCAGTTTATCAGATTAAACAAGATTACAGGGTTGCACTGTAGACACAGAAACAACAATTTGCTCACTATATATTGTTCTGTTAATCATCCACTCTAAGAAATGACAGTTTTCCATTTATGTTTCTCTCATAGTTAATTCAGATCTTTCCTCTGGTTAGATTTCTTTCAGCTGGTGTGCAGATAGTTAAAATACCATGATAAGATCTATAGTTTACATGACATATTCATTTACAAACAGAATACATAAAGAAGAATAAAACAAAATATTAAAATAATTACTGTGAGGCTTTTTGTTGAGCTGGATTATGCGTGTGAATTAATGTTCTACTATTCTCTTACCATCTGTATTTAAAATAGATGTGGCATAATCTTCCACACTAGAGAGATAATCAGTATAGTTAGTCTGACACACCTTCCATTCAATGGGCATTTGTGCCTCTGATTTTATAAGTTCTCTACACTTTTTGGGGAGATTTAACTCATCACATCTTAGTAGCTAGTTGCAGGGTCAAGCAACATGGTAAGGATTGAATAGATAAAAATGCAGTATTTAATAGCATGCCTCAGTCAAAGAATTAATTAGTTTCAGTATATTATTCCCAATAACACTGGTACTCCATTAGTAATTCTACAAGTTGATTTTTGTTTGTAAGAACACATGATCATGTATATATATACAATATATATATTGTATACACCTTTGTATATATTGTCAAAATAGATGCAGTAGCAAAACCTTATGAAAAAGAAGAAACAGACCATAGGAAGTTAGTCATAATTTTTAAAGCTCAAGCACATGGTGATTTCTACACTTGTAGATACTTTTTGTCAAGAAAACAAATTTCAGACTCTTCTGGTTCCAAATGATTTTTTTAAAGTGATGATCTAAAGTAATTTGGCAATGTTTGCGTTGCACCAGGTAAATGCCCTGTTCAGTATAATAGAGGAAAAGCTTTAGAAAGTGTCTCTTAATTTAACAACAAAAAAAGAGTTTTATGGTTGGCTGAACTAACAGACTTTTGGCCAAAAGTCACACAGATCAGTCACCTGCATGAGCATCAACCTCAAACATGGCTAAGCCAAAATGAGGGGAAGTGATTTCGGTTTAGAGTCATCTGTCACCAATTCACTGCTCAGTTCTATTCCAACAGAGCATTTTTAACTGGATGGCAGACATTTAAACTATACAATCTAAATCTGTTCTAATATTCGTGTCATCTGCCCTTTAAAAGTTCTTGGCTATTTGAAACCAGAAGCTGGAACAGGTCACCTTTTGGCAGGAGTAAAGAACAGAACAAACAAAGGTGTTTTCATTCAGCTCTCTCTTGGCCTTTCTTAAAAATGGAGTATTGTGGGCTGGTGTCTATTTAAACAAAAAACAGTGACTTTAATCTCTGTCCCTCACCAACCTGTCTCTGCTTTATTTTTAATGGCAATAGTGTGAAACATCTGTAATTAGAAAAGGATTATTGCATACAAATCCTGTAAAGCTCTTTCAACACCCTGTCCCAGCACTGTGACCAGTTGTCCTCTATTGCCTGTTACAGAGGGACTGGAAACATCAGCACAGGAATGGTTTGCAGTTCCCTGTGTAAGTCAGAATAAACTCTCTTTTAATATCGATTTACTGTTACTCTCACTTGTTTTTAAGGAGGAATTATATCTTTCTTCCCACTATTCTTTTTTTTCCTGCTGCTGGATACTGATGGCATCAGCATTAGCATGTACAAAGTCCACTATTAATATCGTACTCGTTAGGCAGAAGTCATTAATTATTGTTACTGTAAAATGTAAGGAGCAGAGGCTTGGATTCAGAGCAAAAAGGGTGGCTAAGTGCTACTTGCAATGCCAGCCACAGGGATAACTGGAAGAGAATGCTGGTTGTGTCAGCTTGGGAAGAGCTCCCCAAATGTAGTGTCGCACAGAGATGTGCAACAAGGGTGTGCTCAGGGGGTCATCTGAGACTGCAAACGACTGGTCAGCAGAAAGGGAAGAAAATCTACCTTGGGAAGATGGGATTTGGACTAAACCTCTCATGTCAAGTTTCCAAAGCTGAAATAGAATCTTCCAATAAATTCAGGGATCACCCCAAGTTCATATGAAAGACTGTGATACGGTTGCTTTCGGTTCAAAGCAGATCTGAATCCCACTACAAAGTACCAGTCCTGGGTGCTACAATTCAATGGATCCAGAGGTGTTCTGATCAGACAACAAAAAGTTCTGCATGTTGGAATGCAGAATAAGAGGAATGGCTTGAGGCCACATTTGACTAGCCAGACACATTTTTATTTATTTTATATTTATATTACTATTTTATGTTCATTTCTTTTTGTTGAAGCTAGGGGAGTAGCACTCCAGTTCTTTGATGGTACAGAGGTAATTATGCTTCGATTCTTTCCATCTGAAAGGTTCTTCTCTGGCCAATGGAAGCTTGAATCTGCACAGCACTGTGAAAAGGAAACTAGATGGGGAGAAGGATTATGTCTTCGATAAGAGACTGAGATACAGCGTGAGACAAAACGAAAGTAACTGCCGGTTCAGGGACATTGTGGTCCGAAAAGAAGAGGGTTTCACACATATTTTGCTGTCAAGTCAGACTTCAGAGAACAATGCACTGACCCCAGAGGTAAGTGTGCAGCCCTAAAAGCCAAAGAAAGCCACCCTAAAGTGTGGGTTATCTTGGAAACACTGCACTTGAACTCGATTTTAGGTGCTTTCTTCCCTAATTGATGATCTTAGAAAAACAAATGCAGAGTTCAGACATATCTACGTTTGTCACACTTGGTATTCCTATTACAAAGAATGCAATGGAAATTAAATTTTAATTCACATGTCTGAAAACGAAAATTAAAAGTAAAGAATGGCAGAATCAATATCTCCAGCGTGGAGTTGTGTGAAGCAGCTTTTCACATGTTGAAATTACTGATATTTCCTATCCTTAGGAGAAATCTGGTCTTTTCCATTTCACTAATTGAAATAGTGCTCCAGTTGTTGCATACAGAGAATTTCAGGCCATATCCTGAGACAGTCATTCTAAATTCTGCCTTGATCCCTAATTACTTTTTCTCTGAATTGCTGTAGGAGTCCTTATTGATGGAATCTTAACCAACTAGGGGCTCAGTCCTCAGCTAAACTGCATAAAGTCTTATAACATATAAAAGATATTAAAGAATTCCCTTCTTCCAAACATTATACACTTAAGGTCAGACTCAGACTTGTAGATTGTACTCTCCCAGTACACACATGGATCACTGGAAGGGCTGAGCAGCTTTTCCTTTCATTCCCTGTGATCCCAGAGTAGTGAGCCATGGTGCCCTGGTGTGCCATCCCCACGGCAGAAGAAAGGGGGTGTCCATAAATGCCTGTGTCAGGATGTATGTCCTGGAGAGAAGGGAACATGCCTGAGTCCTGTTCCCCATGGGCAGTAATGAGTATAGGAGGTATCAGTATGAGCACCTGAGGGAAGAGCAGTTTGTAGCTCTGAGGAATCATTTTATTCAATCAGAAACTGATGGGTCCTAAATTTGACTGACCTTCCCAAAGGCACACATCCAAATGGACATTCATTTATTTAACTATTTAGTATCATTCAGTAATACACTGAATGATATTAAATAATTAAAACTGATGGTACATGCATTTATCACTCCTAGTTCTTAAACTAAGTAATATTTAGAAGGACTATCTTGGTCATTATCACAGAACACCAAACACTTGCTTTTAATACTAATTCCTTAAAATGCATTAGATGGCATCAAATCCATCATTCCATCCCTGTCTTAATTACCACTAATTGACACTGCAGGGCCTGAAAAAGTATGAAATCAAGGGCTGTGTTCAGGCTGACCAGACATACCTTTACGTTGCTGGCTGTGCTGTTCCACATCAGCAGTGCTCAAATGCTCTAACCAGGGGATTAATTCAGGCTCTTCAGATCTGCCAAACCAATCCATTTCATCCTTTGAAAGTTTTCAATATGCTGGGAACTCACCTGTGTGGAAGAATAAATGATAAGCATGTAACAGTCCTGTCCCTGCATCACGGCGTGGACTATTTCTAGACCCTTTATTGAAGCTCACTTGAAAACCAAGAAATGCATTTTAGGGAACTACATTACTGGCCAGGAGCTGGATGGGCAGGAATTAATCAAGGAGTCCTCCACATGGAGATTGCCTGTTTAAACCCCATCCAGGCCCAGAGCAATCCCAGGCTCTTGCCCTCGGAAGGCTCGTGGCTACAAACATGAAAAGGCTCCTCTGGCCTCAGTCCAGGCTGCTGCCCGGGATCATTCACACCACAAAATCCAGCAGCTCCAGGACTGGCAACTCCATAGCCTTGCTGGCAACTACAGCAAAAATCCAAGGAACTGAAAGCAGGAATGTGTTGATGCCCTGTCCCTGCAGTTTGTCACCCACAGCCACAGGTGGGACAAACTGACAGAGTGTTTTAGGGGGGTTGAGAACATTTTCGGGTTTGATGCCTTTTCTCACCAGTGAATAAAAAGTGCAAACACACAATTCCTACAAAATGAAGAAAGTGTGTCTCATTTTGGGTAAAGAAATGCAAACTTCCAGCTTTGTTGGACAGTCAGTAAATTATGTTTGCCAAATAGCAAATGAATTATTTACTCAGAGCAGCTCTACTTGATGTGGTTAAACAGTGCTCTGGTTATTCTTATCTATGTTAAGAAAAAAAGAAAAGGTGTGCACTGCAAACAATCATTTCAAAATTAAACTGATACAAAATCCCTCTCACTCCTCACCAGCCCTTGTGCTTTATCATAATCTTCAGGTGAAGTTTAATAGTTGTGTTCAACCATTGGCCTTTGTTATTTATGCCAATTTAATTAAAATAACAAAGAAATTTTTTTTTAAAAAAAAAAAAAGGAAAAAAAATGAAAGCCTAGAGAAGTCTACCTGAATCCCTTCATCCCATGTTTTTGGTAACCCCATTTGTGCAGGTGATTTTAACATGAAATGTGCCAGTGCTCCTTCCAGCAGCTTTTGCACTGATTGAAGTTGGCTCAGTGCCACTCTAGTAATTGAGTTTTTTCTACCAAAAATGTTCAGGGCACTATAGAAATTCTTTCTTATTTTTTTACAAGACCTTATAAAACTTCCAAGGCAGTGTCATGAAACGGCACAGCTTGTTTTTATTTCAGTAGCTTAGACTTTCTACTTTTAAAATTCATTTTGAAAATCCATTTTTAAAATACATATGTGAAATGTCTCATCATTATAAATTCCACGAGGGCATTTTCTCTCCTGGGTCTTCTGCTGCTTCTGATGTTTGTTCTCCAATGCTGTTGCTGCTGTTTTAACTCAGCACATCTCGAGGATCCAAATTCTGTTTCAGACTAAACGGACCCATCTGCTGGTTTTCCTTAACACCATTAACAGAGCTGGGAGTTAATATTCCCCTGAATTCAAAGCAAAACATTCCCTAAACAGGCAGTGTTCCCATTGCAGGCTGACAGAACTACCTCAAGTACCTTCTCAGACACAAGAAGCAGGTTTCACATTTCCAGCCATGGGAATTCAAGAGTTTGAAGTTGTACCAGGTGTATTTTGGAGCATTGCTTTGCCCTCACTTTTTCCTTACTTATAAGTTTTCCTAACTGGAAAATAATAAATAAAAGAGGCAGGTAGAAGTTTATTGTTATCTGTGGTTTTCTGTCTCACAAGAACAAATTGTGGGTTTGGACCCTGCAGCTTTAGAGGTGCCCAAGTCCCTGAGGTACCAAAGAGAAAGGACTGGGAATCTGCACAGTCAGTAACACAAAGTGTATTTATGTAAAAAGGCACAAGTGTGGGAGGTTCTAAAAACAACTGAATGGCTTTAAAACTTGGTTTTACTGTAATATTTACAGAGTATTTACCTTAAAGAATATCACAGTGAGTCCTTAGAGGTTCAGAGAAGTTAACTTTTTCAACTAATAACTCCTGTTTATGTGAACAAGAGACTTCTGTTCAAGATACTTTGTGTAATTACAGTGATAAATTCCCAGCTCTTTGATTTTCCCAGTGTAAGCAAAGGGCACCAAATGCCTTTTGAAATTTCCTACAACCAGTGAAAGGCATTAAAATAAGCTCTTAGAAGTTTAATGAAGTTTTTAACCGTTTTATGTTTATTTTGCAATATAAGGTGTCCTGTTCAAGAACTAAGCAGTTTATTTTCTTGACAGGATTAAAAATATAAGCAACTGCTGAGAAGGTGATAATTTTATTATATATTTGGGTTTCAATAAAACAGTAAGTGAAGCACTAGGCCTGGTCTAAATTTATAATCCATCCAATTATCATAACCTAAATAACTGGCCCATAATGCTCTGTAAATACTTCCTCAGAAATTTTCATCAAATGCATTCAAATAGAAATACTGTCCCCAGAACTGAATATTACCTAAAAGACCATAAAAAAGCTAATTAATAAAAGCATGGAACTGGAATACTGCTAAGGAGCTCTGGAAATAGTAGTATTAGATCTGGTCCACTAGAGAAAATAAAATTTAATTGGACAAATGCAACAGTTATACCAAAATGGAGAAAGGTTTAAGGACTACGGAAGAGAGAAAAAAGTATGGAATCTGACAAAGAAATGGAACTAAAGACACGTTGTATCTCTGTATTTGACAATAAATCCACCACTGCATTAAACAGAAATCTGTGCATAAAAAAAATTTGTAGAGAGCAGTTCTGGACTAAAATGATATTTACTTTACAATACTGCAGTTTAATACCCAGTTCTGCAACCCTGCAGACAAATGAGCTTTTTTGTTGTTATTTTATTGTAAGTGGCTTTTGTGTAATCATAGAAACATCTGTAGGGAAATACTCCCAGCAGAGAATCCCTGAGGAAAGCCGTGGTGCCAGGGCTGCTGGACCCAGGCTGAGTGACAAGGTGACCAGGGAATTTTGGCACAACCAAAGGAATCATGGCATGGACCACGAGTGAGAACTGACTTGGCTAGCACTGCTGGATTCCACTGAGCCTCCCAGCACCTCGGCATGATAAAGTTAATGATAAACTTACAGCTTTTTATAAAAACACATACTTTTTGGAGCCTGAAAATACCGATACGATAATGGGTTCCTGGTTTCTTCTGCTACAAACCAGTGGAGCAGTGGAACTAAATTTCCCCTCCTGCTCCAAAGTACTGCCCAAAGCCTTCCCATTTTCAGCCATATCTGAGAAATGGATTCCCACTAATGGACTTCGAATGTCACTCACTCCATAACACTGAAAAACCAGCATACTTCTATCACTGTGGGTTAAGCTCTGCTCCAAAGTTTGGATGGCTTTCAGATGGCTTTAGCCATCTAAAAAATCAGAGAGAAAAAAGAGGCAGGTTTGTAATGGTAATTAATGATGTGTGTGGAGGGGGAACACACATGCAAATACCACTGGAGGAAGGGCAACAGCAAAGAAATTTGCTGAATGGAGTGTCATGGCAGTATTTAATGTATGGGAAAATGTCTGACAGGTATTCCCTGATATCATTTATACATCCATCCTAGATTTGAGAACTTTTAAAATAAATTAAGAGGGCAATCTTGCATTCATGTGGAGCTAGGAAAATGAAAATACATCATCTTTTTTATTTTAACATCTACCACCTTCTGAAGTGTTAGGGGTTTTTTCCCTTTGTTTCCCCATTTTTTGTGCAGTGTTGCTGTGTTTCTCCCAGCTGAGGGCTGAGACTCCCACAACGAACAGTGCTCCTAAAATCGCTGGTGACATTTTTGTACCTGCATAAGAATTTCAAATACACTTCCAAATTCTGCTGCTTTTAATTACTTCACTTCCACCCACTGTCACACACTCGCTATTACAGGCATTCTGAAGTGCACTTGTAGAAGTGAGGCATCTAAAAGTTCACCAGCTGCTCCCTCATGGCCCAGGCCCAGTAACACTCATTTTTACACAAACCCGTAGGGAAAGCAGCACAATCCAGGAGATTTCTAATAAAAGCCTACCTAGAATGGCATCAACAAAACAAAGGTGTTTAGGGACATTTCTTAAACAAGGTACTTCAGAGAGCTGAAGAATCCTGGGAATCAGAAAGGAGTGAACAGAAATCATCACAGGCTAAAAATCTTGGTTTTCTCTCGCATGGAACCTCTATTTAGATTTCCAACCACATTTAGCTTTCTCTTACCTAAATTTACAGCAACAGCAAAAAAGAAAAATTTGACTCAACAGGACCCACTCTGTAGGAAATATTCTGACACATGGGTGTGATTAACAGAGGAGGTGTCACACAATGAAATCTTGGCCCTGGCAGTGAGGAGCAACTCACTGAAGAGAAGAGGGGGCTGAAGGGAGTCCCAGCTCACAAACCACACTCAGTTGGGACCAAACAAGAAGTTACCCACCAGGAGTTGATGAAATAATATTTCCTTCTAAAAACCATTAGAAAACAATTCTCTGCTCAGGTGAAAGGCCATTTTTCTACAATACCAGCAGCTCAATTCTATACAGATTTTGATTCTGTTTGATTTATGGTGCAATTAATAACTTGATTCGGTTCTAAAACAGAGTCAAAATGTCTCTTTCAAGGGACTTTTTTGCTTGAACTTTTGTAGACTGTAACAGTGTCACTGACCACAGAAAAATGAATAATATATTTGTTATGTTGATGTATATGATGTCCTCTTGTCCTGCTTTGCTCTGATTGAAGTCACGTAAACCAAAGGAGTCGTAGAACTGAAAAGGGGTTTCTAGATTTTGCTGACAACATGTTGAGGGGACTGACAAGGCTATTGCTGTGATAACCATGTTCCTGAGGATGCAGTGATGTACACTGAATGTACCCAGTGAAAAGAAAAAAGTGGTATTTGAAGTTATTAAATTGCAATCAAATAGCATAAGCAGGCTAGAATTTCCCCTCCAACAAAGAACAGCCAAGTCCCAAAAACTCTTTGAGCGCCAACAAAGCCAAACTGCCAAACAGAAAATACTTTGCAAACTTTCCGTGTTATCACTCTGAGTC